CCACTCTGACTGACGAGGAATGGATTAAGGTGGAGGTGCAGCTCAAGGATCTTATCTTGGCCGACTACGGCAAGAAAAACAAGTGAGCAATTGGGGCTGGGGAGGCAGATGGAAGAGACAAAAAGGGTGAAATAAGTGGTACAGTATATGGTTTCTGTTTTGGGGTTTTTTTTGTGTGTGGTTTTTTAAAAATATTTTTATTGATTTCAGAGAGGACGGGAGAGGGAGAGATAGAAATATCAGTGATGAAAGGGAATCATTGATTGGCTATCCCCTGCACACCCCTCACTGGGGATGGAGTCCGCAACCTGGGCATGTGCCTTTGACTGGAATCCAATCCGGGACCCTTCAGTCTGCAGGCTGATGCTCTATCCACTGAGCAAACTGGCCAGGGCAGTTTCTGGGTTTTTTAAACATTTAGCCTCAGGTGTTTCTCAAGAATTGTCCTGGGAATTGCCTATAGAAGAAAGGAAGGCAGTGTCTTCAGATAGTGAAGGAAGAGTCTGTGTTTTGGGGCTTCATTCTGACCCTTGGGCATTGTTTCTCAATGGAGGCACTACTGCCATTTTGAGCAGGGCATTTCTTTACTGTCCATGCATTACAGGAAGTTTTAACATCCCAGGCCCTGAGGTACCACTGCTAATAGCACACACATACCTTTCTTCCCTCTCCTTCCCTGTAATTGTGGGAACCAAAGGTGTCTGTAGCTTTTCAAGTATCCCCTAGGTTGACTGACAGTACCAGCTCTGAGAACATGTTTCAGGGTTTCTGTTTTTGAGAATTGTCCTGCGCTAGGGCACTTTTTATCAAGGAAAAATGGGAGGTATGGATGCTGAGCAGGTTTGAGCCTGGCTGAAAAGTGCACCTGCACAGGGCCATCCTGGGGTGTGGCAAATGTTAGTACAAATGTATTAGTACATCTGCACTTCACACTTCCTTTACAAGTGTCACTTGACGATTGTCTGGGATAATATGGGTTCCCTTGTACCCCAGTTACATTCTTGCCATTGAGGCATAAGTGACCGAGGGGAAGGGACCCTTGTGTGACCCACACTGTCCCTTCAGTGTGAATGTGGCCTCACTGACACAGTCAGAGATTCGAGACATCATCCTGGGTATGGAGATCTCTGCACCGTCACAGCAGCGGCAGCAGATAGCTGAGATTGAGAAGCAGACCAAGGAACAGTCACAGCTGACGGCAACACAGACTCGTACTGTTAACAAGCACGGGGATGAGATCATCACCTCCACCACCAGCAACTATGAGACCCAGACTTTCTCATCAAAAACTGAATGGAGGGTCAGGTACTGTAAGGGGCCAAAGGGGTAGGGATGGAAGGGCCTGCTGGGCTACCTACAGTGCTTGGGTTGAGAAATGCTGACATTCCTACCTGTTTTTAGGGCCATCTCTGCTGCCAACCTGCACCTACGGACCAATCACATCTATGTTTCATCTGATGACATCAAGGAGACTGGTTACACCTATATCCTTCCCAAGAATGTGCTTAAGAAGTTCATCTGCATATCTGACCTTCGGGCCCAAGTGAGTAAGTGTGCTCAGCTGGGCCACGGTGTTAGCCAAACATTTTATGTATCTACAACTCACCTAAGGTTTCCTGGAACTTGAGGTTTCAAGATTCATGGAAAAGTAAATATACAAGGACTAGAGGCCCGGTGCACGAATTTGTGCATGGGTGGGGTCCAGCCTGGCCCGCCCCGCACAAATCAGGCTGATGTGACCTGGGGAGGGGGGGCGGTTGGCGGGCCACCCCGCCCCCTGGTCGAACTCCAGTAAGGAGGGTTTTGACCCCCACCAGATATCAAAACATAAAGTTATGGCAATTAAGAGAATAGCACCTACACAGAAACATTCATGTGCATATAATAAATATGGTATATCAAGTCTAGGATTAAGGATGCCTTATGATATTGAAGCAATCAGAAAAAGTAATCTAGATCCCTACTTCACACCACTTACAAAAATAAAATTCAGGTGGAATAAATATCTATTTAAAATACTAAACTGTATAATATTAGAGGAAAACATTTATTAGTTTTGGGATAGCCCTCTAAATAAGACACAAAGCACAAAACCAGTCAAAATGAATAACTTGTGTGTCTGTCAAAGGGTACCACAACAGATACCCTAAAAACAAAAATTATTTGCATAACCATAGATATAATAGATTAAGATCTAGAATAGGGAATTCTCAGAAGTTGATTTTTTAAAAAAAGATAACTATAGAAGATTGGGCAAAGATTACAGATGTAGTTCAGAAAAGGAACTACAGGTGGCAAATATAATATGAAAAAATGCTCACCTTTACTAGTAAATAGGGAAATTCAAGTGTTGTAAAACACCATTTATGGCCTGTTTGGTGAATTTGAAAAGTTTGTTAATATTCTGTGTGGGTGATTTATAGGAACACAGGTCCTCTTAACTTTGTAAAACTTAAAATACCACCTATTACTGGTTTTGAAGAAGTTTTCATTTGTTTATAGATACTATACTTAGATAATCAACTGGGAAGCAGTGCAGATTCCTGGACCCCACTCAGGAGATTCTGATGTGGTCATTTTGAGATAAGGTCCATGTTTAATGTTGTGACCAAGCACCCAGGTGATTCTTTTTTTTAACAACAAGCAAACACGTTTTTTTTATTTCAAAGAGGAAGGGAGAGGGAGAGGAAGAGATAGAAACATCAATGATAGACTAATCAATCAGTTGGCTGCCTCCTGCATGCCTCTCACTGGGGATTGAGCCCGAAACTTGGGCATGTGCCCTTGACCAGGAATCAAACGTGACCTGGTTCATAGGTCGACATTCAACCACTGAGAAGCACCAGCCGGGTCTCAGGTGATTCTGATGTGATAGATTCTGACCACATTTTGAGAAATTTGTTCTTAAGGAAGGGAAGGAAATGGCTAAAAGCGCAGGTCTAGGCTGGTACTAAGAATCATTTTGATTCTTGATCCCCTTGTCTCCAGATTGCAGGATACCTGTATGGGGTTAGCCCACCAGATAACCCCCAGGTGAAGGAAATCCGCTGCATCGTGATGGTACCACAGTGGGGTACCCACCAGACTGTGCACCTGCCTAACCAGCTGCCCCAGCATGAGTATCTCAAGGTCAATGGGGGTTTTCTGCTGCGAGGGTTGGGGAGGGAAGGCAGACCTTACCTTCCTGAGTGGGATTCCTGTCTGCAGATAGGGCTTTAAATCGTCTTTTACTGCTCTTTGCCTATAGGAGATGGAACCCTTAGGTTGGATCCACACTCAGCCCAATGAGTCCCCCCAGCTATCGCCCCAGGATGTCACCACCCATGCCAAGATCATGGCTGACAACCCATCTTGGGATGGCGAGAAAACCATCATCATCACCTGCAGGTGGGCTTGAGCTCCCATGGAAAGTATGAATGGGCCAGCATTGCAGGCCAGGACCAGAATGGTGGCCTAAGCTCTGACTTGATCCTCATCCCTCTTTCAGCTTCACACCAGGCTCCTGCACACTGACAGCCTACAAGCTGACCCCCAGTGGCTATGAATGGGGCCGCCAGAACACAGACAAGGGCAACAACCCCAAGGGCTACCTACCTTCGCACTATGAGAGGGTCCAGATGCTGCTGTCAGACCGCTTCCTCGGCTTCTTTATGGTCCCTGCCCAGTCCTCATGGAACTACAACTTTATGGGTAAGTGGGGAAGCTCAGGGAAGGGGCTGGGGTTAGGCCAGTGATGGCAAACCTATGACAGGCATGTCAGAGGTGACACGCAAACTCATTTTTTTGGTTGATTTTTGTTAAATGGCATTTAAATATATAAAATAAATATCAAAAATATAAGTCTTTGTTTTACTATGGTTGCAAATATCAAAAAATTTCTCTATGTGACACGGCACCAGAGTTAAGTTAGGGTTTTCCAAAATGCTGACACGCCGAGCTCAAAAGGTCCGCCATCACTGGGTTAGGCCCTCATCCTTAGCACTTGGGGCCTGACTCTGGTTTGGAGATGGCCCAGGGGCCCCAGCTGGGTGAGATAGGTGGACCTTGTTAATATTGGACGTTTTTATCTACCCCAAGGTGTACGGCATGATCCCAACATGAAGTATGAGCTGCAGCTGGCAAACCCCAAAGAGTTCTACCACGAGGTGCACAGGCCGTCCCACTTCCTCAACTTCGCGCTCCTGCAGGAGGGGGAGGTCTACTCTGCGGACCGAGAGGACCTCTACGCCTAGTTGTGTCCTCACCTCCTGCTTCAGACTCCCCAAAGGCTGGAGATTTTTAGGGCCCCCCCACCCCCCGCCCCACCTCCCACAGACTAGCTGGTGACATTCATCAGCTTGGCCCCTTTTTCCTCTATTTTGTGCTTGTTGTGTTGTTGACTCCTGGTGACCTGTAATCCTGAACAGTATAATAAATTTTGTATAAATTGGAGTTTTTGAGTGTTTTCCCCCTCTGAGCTCAAATTCTGGGTGTAGGATTGGCAGGTGAGGGGAAAGGAGGACCCCTCAGGGCTTGTGGGGCTAAATATCCAGTAGACACTGGGAACTGACATGGGGGTTGGGCTTTCACACTCCTACCACCTTGACCACATTTGCCAATTTTGCTCCAAAATACTTGCAAATCATCCCTCGGAGCAGTTGCCATTTCCTGAGCCAGGAAGCTTGTGACTTGTTCTCTGCAGCTATGTGCCAGCCTGGCCCCTTAAGCTTTATGTCACTCCTGGTCAGGGCACAGGCACATGCCTGGACAGTTGGCGCTCTGGCTGAGGCCAGTGACAGCCCAGCGACTCACCTCTTGCCCTGTGTGGTTGGCAGCCCAGTGGGGCCCCGTGACTCCAGGCACAGGGGTGGAGCCTGGCCTGGGCACTGGGGAGGGCTGGACAAAGTGACCACTTACAGCCCTGAGCCTCACCTCTTGGACGCCTGGCTGGAGGCTGGCTGTCCTGCTTCCTGTGACCTTGGGGACTTGAACCGGACAGGGCCCAGGGGGCCCAGGGCACCGTCTCCTTCCCCCACGCTGTTTTCTTTAATTGCTCCTCCCCAGTCGCTTCTACCCCACCCTCTCCTGCGCTGAACTGTTTCCTGGGCGGGAGCTGTTTGGCTTTTCCTGCCCCAGTTAGGGTTGGGGGCGGTGACTGTCGCAGCCCTTGGCCTTCGGGGGACATGGAGCCCAGGAGGGCGGCGCCTGGGGAGCATGGCTGGAGGCCTCGAGTGGCCACGGGGGCTGAGACGGCCGCAGAGCTCGTGTACCATCTAGCGGGGGCCCTGGGCACCGAGCTGCAGGAGCTGGCGCGCCGCTTCGGGCCTGAGGCGGCCGCGGGACTCGTGCCGCTCGTGGTGCGGGCGCTGGAGCTCCTGGAAAAGGCTGCCGTGGGGCCCGCCCCCGACTCGGTGAGTCACTGCCCCTCCCTCTGCCACCCGCGGGGTCGCCGGGGGCCTAACCCTGAGAGCCCGGACTCCCAGCTGCAGGTGTCGGCGCAGCAGGCCGAGCTGGAGCTGCGGCGGCTGCGGGACGAGAACGAGCACCTCCGCAGAGAGCTGCGCTGCGGGCCGCAGGGTGAGTGCGGGCCAGGGCGGGGGCGGGCCGCGCCGAGACCGCCTCCCGGGCCGCCGCTAAGCACCACCCTTCCTCAGAGGAGCGTGCTCTGCTGCGGCAGCTCAAGGAAGTGACCGACCGACAGCGGGACGAGCTCCGGGCGCACAACCGGGACCTGCAGCAGCGCAGCCAGGAGACCGAGGCGGTGAGGGCGGGAGAGGCTGCGGCGCGGGGCGGGGCGGGGCTCCCTCGGCGCCCTGCCCACCGGCCCTACCGCGTGCTCCGCCCCCAGTTGCAGGAGCAGCTGCAGCGCCTCCTGCTGGTGAATGCAGAGTTGCGGCACAAGCTGGCCGCGGTGCAAACCCAGCTTCGAGCCGCACGGGACCGCGAGAGCGAGCGGGAGCTGCGGCGTGCAGGTGTCTTGGAGTTGGCTCGGGATCAGGATCAGGATCAGGCACGGAACCTGGCCGGGGGTCCTGGGTGCGCACAGAGGCAGGAGCCCGAGCTGGCGACCGCAGAACCAGGAGGCCCGGGGACCCCTGAGGACCCCGTGAGTGCCCGCTGGTCAGGGACCCTTCCCAATCCTCACAAGGGTGGGCACTTGGGAAGTGTGCTGTGCTGCGTGGCAGGTCCAACGGGACGTTGGAAGGTGGCACACAAGTATGTCCCCCCAGCCGGCCTCTGTCCCTCTCTCATCTAGAGCACTGGTCTGACGTTGTTGTGGTGCCCCTTGCCTCCCCAGTCTCCCTGCCAGCATTCCCTCTAGAACAGTGGTTCTCAGCCTTGGCTGCACATTAGAATCACCTGGGAATCTTTTAAAATCCTGATTTCTGGGCCTCATCCTCCGGAAATTCTGTCTCCTTGTTATGGGGTGGGGGCCACAACCTTAGTAACAAAGAAGCAGAATTTCCGGAGGATGAGGCCCAGAAATCAGGATTTAAAAAAGATTCCCAGGTGATTCTAATGTGCAGCCAAGGTTGAGAACCACTGCTCCAGAATTACCGTGATGACCCAGGGGCAGAGAGGCGCCAGCCCAGGCCCCCCTCTGACCAAGCCTTGCCTTCCCTTGCGCAGGCGGATGCCCCGCAGGAAGAACAGTGTCCCTCCAACGTAGGGCAGTGCGGCTTCAGTCGAGAGGAGCTTCAGCAGATCCTCCAGGAGCGGAATGAGCTCAAAGCCAACGTGTTCCTGCTGAAGGAGGAGTTGGCCTACTTCCAGCGGTGAGGGCGCTGGGCAGGAGCTGGGCAGGGGAGGGGCTCCAGTCACACCTGTTCCTGGGGCTGGGGTCACCTGCCTCATTCTTTGGCTCATTGGTATATAAACAGTGACATATGCCAGGCACTGTGCTGGGCACTGGGAGGACATGAATCACACAGCCCCTGCCTTCCTGGAACTCCAACCAAATGCGGGAAGGGGAGTGCAGAGGGGCACAGCAGCCACAGCAGCAGTCAGAGAAGTATTCCTAGGAGGTGTGACACCTAAGCTAAAGTTTGAGGGGTATTAGGCAAAGTGTTTCAAAAAAGGGTACTTCGGTGTGAGACTTACTTTTGGTATCCCCATCACTTTTCCCCTGCCCTTTCTCCTCCTCTGTAGGGAGCTGCTCACAGACCGCAGGGTACCTGGGCTTCTCCTGGAAGCCATGAAGGTGGCTGTCAGGAAGCAGCGGAAGAAGATCAAGGCGAAGATGTTAGGGACCCCAGAGGAAGCAGAGAGCAGGTAAGTCCCTGCCTTCATTCTCACTGAGCTAGCCCTCCCTCCCTCGTTCTGTTGAGCCTGATAACCCAGCCTGGTCACGCTCTAACCCAGTCTAGTCACCTCCTAAGTCTGCTGACCTATTCTGGTCACCCTATTGAGCTTGCTGACCCAGCCTGATCATCTTTTGAGTCTTTTTGTCTCAGACTGAACCTATCATCCCAGCCTCATCACCCCTTGAACCTAACACTCTAGTCACTTTTTTTTTGGTAATATATTTTTATTGATTTCAGAGAGGAAGGGAGAGGGAGAGAGAGATAGAAACATCAATGTTGAGAAAGAATCATCGATCGACTGCCTCCTGCATGTCCCTCACTAGGGAATGAGCCCGTAACCCAGGCATGTTCCCTGACCGTGACCTCCTAGTTCACAGGTCGACACTCAACGACTGAGCCACATCCGGCCAGGCTAGTCTAGTCACTCTTGAACCTGCTAACCTGGCCGGGTCACCCCCTGAGCCTGCTGTCCAGCCTGCCCTGCTGAGCTTGCCACTCTGGACTGGTCACTCCTTGAGCCTGCTGTCCTGCCTGCCCTGATGAGCTTGCCACTCCGGCCTGATTACTCCTTGAGCCTACTAACTGATCTAGTCTGGTCTTGGTCACCCCTGAGCCTGCCCAGCCACCTCCTAAGTCTGCTGACCTATTCTGGTCACCCTGTTTAGCTTGCTGACCCAGCCTGCCCTGCAGAGTCTGCTACTCTGGCCTGAGCCTACTATCTGGCCTGCCCTGCTGAACATGCCATTCTGCTTTGGTCACCCCTTGGGCTTGCTGATCTGGCCTGGTCACCCCTTGAGCCTACTATCTGGCCTGCCCTGCTCAACATCCCATTCTGCTTTGGTCACCCCTTGGGCTAGCTGATCTGGCCTGGTCACCCCTTGAGCCTGCATTCCTGAGCCTGCCACCCTTCTCTCTGGATCGCTCTGCTCCCACTTGCCATGCTTGCTGCGCATCCTGCTGAAGAATCCTGCTAATGCTGTTTCTCCACATTCATTCTTCGGGTCCCTGTCCTGGCTGTATCTGCTGGCTGTATCTCAGAGGAGTGAGACGGTAGCTGTAGAGACCTTCATAGAAAGCCAAAAGGCCTGGGTTCAAAGAGCTTCCGGGCTGGTGGACACATGGAGATGCAGGACTCATGGCGGGCCTGCAGCGGGCATGGCAGCCCTGTGCCCTTTCCCCATACCTTGCCCCTGAGAGCTCAGGACAGCAGGGTGGAAGGATGCTTCTTCCATCTGGCTATTACTGAGTTATAACCTTTTATAATAAATCAGTAATCTAGTAAGTAAAAAATAAAGACTATAGCTGAAGCCTTGTCAGAGGTCTGCTGTCCATCTGCCTATAAAATAAAAGTCTCAAGATGTCCTTCATCTCCCCAGTGTCCCCTCTCCAGCTTTGGGGGCCCTGTTGTCACCCTGTTTTCCCCTGCTTGCTCCTGGGGGCCACACAGAAGGCTGACCATAGCTGCACTCCCATTGTCCCTCCTGGCCTTGATAAATGACCCTCACCTCTTTCCTCTCTCCTCTGCCTCAGTGACGATGAGGATGGCTCATGGCTCCTGCTCTCCAGCGATAAGGAAGACCACCCCCCACCCCCTGAGTCCAGAATACAGAGTTTGTATGTTGTGGGGAGAGGAAGAGACCCCACCTTGGTTCTTTTCAGCATCCCCTTTCCTACTCCCCTGATGCCCACCCTGCTGTCCTGAGCTCTAAGCGCGCCCCTCCCTTCCTGCTTCTCTGACCCTGGCCCTTTCACCTCCTGCTGCCCTTTCTTCTTACTGTATCCCCCGTTCTCACCATCCCCGTCCTCAGCCCATATCCTTGATCTCTCTGGCACCCGGGCTCAAAGTACCTCTGGGTTCTCCCCCCAGCTTTGGCCAGTGTTATCGAGGTGAAGCAGAGGCCCTTGAAGCCAAGACCAGCAGCACAGCTCCCAGCGAGCGAGGGGAAGAGGAGGCCCCACAGCAATCCCACGTGGAGCCTATGGGCAGCCCCTGACCGGCCCTGCTTTGCTCTCGATGAACATCTTTGTCTCGGGGTCTCAGGTGCCCCAGGCGCCTGACCTTGGAGTCTGACTGTGGGTGGATGTGACCTCAAATGAGGACAGGGCTCCCTCCTGCCCTGCCCTCCCAGGCTCTTTCCCAGTCTTGGCCTGAGCCAGGGCACGACTGGGAGTCCAGCCTACCTTCCTTTCCTAGATCTCGGAGTGAAGCCTCCTGGGTCAGATAAAAGTGCTTCCTCTCTGAGTCTCAGTTTCCCCATCCATGAACTGGAGAGCTGACTACCTACCTCCCAGAGATTTGCACAGATGGCCTAAGCTAATGTAATAAAGGAACTGCCCGTGATATCCACAAACTGTTCCACGTCTGTCTGTCAGTGGTCGGCCCCCGCTTCCCGCCCTGCTTTGCCAGGGGTGAAGGCAGGCTGAGGCTGTCTCAGGGTTTCCCCGGTCGTCACTGGGTGGGGAGGCTTCTCCCAGCTGGGAAGTATGACCTAATGGAAAACTCTGGCTCCCCCTCACCCCACTCCCTCGCCTGCCCCCAATATCCCAGGACTTCCAGTTTCATCTTCCTGCCCCCTCCAGACTGAAACCAGCCCCTTCAGGCCCCACTCGGCACTAGTGATTGGGCCTGCACACCCTCAGGGAGGTGCCTCATGGCAGCCCGCCCACCACCGCCCCCTGGGCCTGGTTTCCTCAGGAAAAGCCTTGGGAGGAAACCGGGAGGGGGTTGGAGCTGTGGGGGCCAGGCTCACTCAAACCCTCTCACTGCGCTGGCCGCCATGGGCCTGCGGCTGCTGCTCCCCCTGCTACTGCTCTGGACTCAGAGGACTGAGGGGTCTGAGCTGGACCCTAATGGGCGGCACGTCTGCATGGACAACAGGTGGCTCTTGTGGGAGGCTGAGGGGGGCGGTAGCTGAACTGGTGCTGAGGCTTGGGGCGGGTAGTGAGGGAAGAGATCATGGGGCTGAAGGGAGGGAGGCTTGGGGACAGCCTGGAGGGTGGTGGATCGTCAGGACAGATGGTGGGAAGGCCAGAGAAGGAGAGGGAAGGGGTTGGGGTCAGTGGGCTGTGACTCGGCCAGGCCTACCTGATGGGGCTGAGGCAGCCTCCCACATCTCAGCCAGAGGCAGTGATCCACCCTTCCTAACCCCCCTCCGCTGACCCCTCTCTGCCCCGCAGCCCCTCTGCTGAGCTCCAGTGCTGCCCAGGCTGGAGGCAGAAGGATCGAGAATGCACCATTGGTGAGTAGCCAGGACCAACCCCCACACCAAGAGAAGGGAGGACACAGCTCAGTGACCTTCCTACCCTTCTGGGGGCTGATTTCCCCTCCTGAGCCCTGGAGCTAGCGTCCGTCCTATGACACACACACCCAACCCCGAGGGAACAGCTCTTGAGGGTCAAGGAACCGGGAGCCAGTGAGGGGGCTGAGTGTCCCCTGGTCAAGCCCCAGTCCTTCTGACCTCGGTGGGTGTTTTTCAGCCATCTGTGAGGGGCCCGATGCCTGCCGGGAAGACGAAGTATGCGTGAAGCCAGGCCTCTGTCGATGCAAACCTGGATTCTTCGGGGCCCAGTGCAACTCCCGTGAGTCCTAAGTCACGCCTGGGGGATGACCTTGCTGGGCAGAGCTAGGAGAGCGGGGAGGCAAAGCAGGTAGGACCGACATCTTGGAACAGCAGGGCCAGAACCTCTCCAGTCTTCACTGAGGAAATTGAGGCCCAGGGACAGGAAGTGACGCTCCTGGGAGATGCCCTGAGTCATCTGGATTTTGCCCAGATCCTCAGAGCCCTATTCACAGCTGCAGTTCTGGGCCCTTCACCTTTCAACTGAGAAAGGGTACTGGTGGTTCCTGTTCATTGCAAAATGGATGCATTCTCAGTCTCCCCCACGTATACCTGAACATGCATGGAGGGTGGAAGGAGGGCCCTGGCCAGGTTGTCTGTCCTCTCTGGCAGAAAAAAAGGGCATGGATGGGAACAGGACAGCCAGGGGCAGCCATCAGGATTCAGGAATCAGGGTGGAGAGGAGACACGGGAGGAAATGGGCTTCTCCTGCGACCCTGATGGCAGCACCCAGGCCTGCCACACCCAGCTGTCAGCCCAGTGGAGGACCCAATGAGAGGGAGGAGGGGGCATGGATGAAGCCTCCCCTGCCCCCCGCCCCCCTCCGCGCGCACACACACACACTTCTTTTTTTTTTTTTTTTTAAATATATTTTTATTGATTTTTTACAGAGAGAAAGGGAGAGAGAGAGTCAGAAACATCGATGAGAGAGAAACATCGACCAGCCGCCTCCTGCACACCTCCTACTGGGGATGTGCCCGCAACCAAGGTACATGCCCTTGACCGGAATCGAACCTGGGACCCTTCAGTCCGCAGACCGACGCTCTATCCACTGAGCTAAACCGGTCTTGGCTTTTTTTTTAAAAAAATATATATTTTTATTGATTTCAGAGAGGAAGGGAGAGGGAGAGAGAGATAGAAACATCAATGATGAGAGAGAATCATTGATTGGCTGCCTCCTGGCACGCCCCACACTGGAGATTGAGCCCGCAACCCAGGCATGTGCCCCTGGTCAGAATCGAACCCGGGACCCTTCAGTCCGCAGGCCGACGCTCTACTCACTGAGCCAAACCGGCTAGGGCACACACACACACTTCTGTGTGCTCTGGGCAAAGCCCCTTTCCCTCTCAGGATCTTTAGTGTGTTCTAGAATGTGACATGGGAGGCTGGGTCACCGCTAAGGAGTTCTGTAGTTCAGAGTCCGGGGCAGGAAGTGAGCTTTGCCCCAGGAGGATATGATGCCACGTGTTCCCAGGGTCGGTTCCTGGCTCTTGGAGGATGGGCCCAGCCCCCTCCTTTGTTCTGGGAGGGGGTCCAGAGCCTGCATTTGTCCGAGGCCTGAGCCCGCTGACCCCTTCCGTCTCTCCCCACCCTTCCCTTTCCTGCCCCAAGGCTGCCCGGGCCAGTACTGGGGCCCCGACTGCCGGGAGAGCTGTGCCTGCCACCCCCATGGCCAGTGCGAGCCGGACACCGGTGTGTGCCGCTGCCAAGCCAACCGCTGGGGTAGCCGCTGCGAGTTCGAGTGCACCTGCAGCCCACACGGGCGCTGCGACCCGAAGACCGGCGCGTGCCACTGCGACGCGGGCTGGTGGTCGACCAAGTGCCACCACCGGTGCCAGTGCAACCCAGTGGCAGCCCGCTGTGACCAGGCCACGGGCAACTGCCTGTGCGAGGTGGGCTGGTGGGGCCGCCGCTGCAGCTTCCGCTGCAATTGCCACGGCTCACCGTGCGCGAAGGAGTCGGGGCGCTGCGCCTGCCGGCCGGGCTGGTGGGGCCCCGAGTGCCGGCAGCGGTGCGAGTGCCTGCGCGGCCGCTGCAGCGCGGACTCCGGCCAGTGCGCCTGCCCGCCCGGCTTCCACGGCCTGCGCTGCGAGCTGCCCTGCCCCGCGGGCCTTCTACGGGGCGCAGTGCAGCCACAGG